AAATGACATCTACACTTCCAGCAGGAAGGAATCACAAGGTCTTTGCCAATAACTACTTTACATCAGTTCCCCTGGTCCAACACCTAAAAGAGAGAGGAATCCATTACATTGGCACAATCCGCATGAACAGGATGAAAGATTAGATCATGAGGGATGAAAAAGAATTAAAGAAGAGTGGAAGAGGGTCAGTGGACTTCAGAGTGAACCAGGACAACAACATAATTGTGAGATGGTATGACAACAAAGCAGTGAACCCGATTTCCTCATTTGTTGGCATTGAACCAGTGGGAAATGTGAAACGTTGGGATCGCAAATCCAAAACTCATATAATGGTTCCCAGACCAGCCATTGTTGAAACATATAACAAGTTCATGGGAGGTGTTGATCTCCTTGATATGCTTTCTGCACTTTACAAGTTCAGCTTCAGATCCCGAAGATGGTACATGTACATCTGGTGGCACACTGTTACAGTAGCCATCATCAATGCATGGAACCTCTACAGAAGAGATCAGCTGAAGCAACAACCCCCCCAAAAAAAACCATGGCTCTGCGAAGGTTTCAGGCTTCGGTTGGCACTTCTCTCACAAGTGCAGGAAAGGTCAAAATCAAGTGTGGTAGACCACTTTCCTCTCCAGAAGCGACTCCAACAACCCTGTAAAAGACCAAGCTGCAGCGTGCTTCTTGATGTGAGAAACGATGGCATTGATCATTTTCCAACATGGGAAACCCGACAAAGATGCAAGCACTGCACTGGCAATCACTTTTCACACGTCTACTGTAAAAAGTGTAAGGTACTTCTTTGCCTGAACAAGGACAGAAACTGTTTTGGTGCCTACCACGTTGTGAAATAAATGGCTGTAAAAAGTTGTATGTGAAAAAAAAAAAAAATAACAGAAACCTTGTCTGAAGTGTTCAATACTTTTTAAATGTTGTGGGCAAAAATAGTTCTTGTATTTACAACTCACATTGTTGTGAGCAAAAATTTTAGGAAAAGCCTGCCGTATCAAATGTGATACAAACATAATATCATAAACAAAATGATACAGCAATAATTTTTTTGGACCATGTTTCAAGGCTTAATAAAAATCTAAATTCTAAAAAATTTGAATTTTCTGACTATTTTTTGATGGGTTAGGCTCACATCCGAACATTAAACGGAGCGGAGACAACTTGAGGGGCTGTTCCCACTAACCTAACACCCCCCCCCCCCCAGCGAAGTCAAGATTTTATTTTAAAGCAGTCAGTCAAGACTGGTACTTATTTGAATCAAAGTTCAAAAAAAAATTCTGTCTACAAGTAAAGGAGTAAAGGAGTAAAGGAGGCCATCTTTGTGAAAAGAAACCGTCCATCATTAAACAGGGGTGGAGCCTCCGGGTTCACCTGTCCCCCTCTTACAATGCTGTGATTGCTAGTATCACTCAGCCCTCTGTGAACAGTAAACAGCCATCAGGTGCTAATGATCCATTGTTAGGCTGATGGTCCTTCTTGAGAATGTGATCAGCTGGTTCTGGTTGTCAGCAGCAAACTGGTTGATCCACTCTAAGAAGGTGTTATTTAAGAGACTGAGCTGAATACAGCACCTCAGACTGAGGAAGTCTCTCAGATGAGAGACGAAACATTTCTACATTTTTTTGTTTTGCTTTGTTTTGTTTTTTGAATGTCCAGAGGACCAGATTTAACTTTTCTAGATTTTTTTACCTGGATTATAGAGTATGCATCAGGATACTTTCTGTCTATGGTAAATGTGTTTAAATACTAGTATCTCAATTAAGCTCATCTCACGCATGAAACTGAGCAGGAAAGATGGAGGGGGGCAGTT